ACGGAAAAGGCGAAGCAAGTCGATCATTGAAGTAGGAAGGCGCCTAGGAGTAGATCGGGATCCGAAAAGCCAGATATACCTACTTTCAGCGACCGACGGGTACAGTCAGCCAGTAGCTTAAGGACGCACAGTAGGGATGCAAGGGCCTTGGAAGGCCACGTCAACACGCTGCGGGCGGGGCGCAGCCAGGCGAAAGCGGCCAAGGCTGGACCGAATGGGCAAGCTGCTCATCCTTACTGTGTGGGTTGACTGTGCACGTGTGCGCCCGGGGGGAAGCGCTGCCAGCCTTGAGTGCCCTCCGCCTCCCCCCTCTTGTCCCCTTCGGCCGCTTCTCCTCCCACGCGCCCCCTCTGGCAGCCGGACACTCAGTTCGTCGCGCGTCCCCGACAACTCGAGCGCCCATGCGGATTGCCTCTGCCGAGCTGCGGCGAGAGAAAGCGTTCGCCCGGGAACCTCGCCGAAGGCATGGACCGTCGGCGCCCCTGGATACCTGTACGGTAAGTTCGTGCGGAATCGATGCGCGCTGAGGTTTTTGATACCGCGTCGATCGTTCAACCTCGAACCGATCGCGGCCCACGCCAGACTTGAACGACTTCGCCAGACTTGAATGCTGCCGCCTACGTTGAGCGACTTCGCCAGCGTCGCCGGCGCGCCATCGCCAGAAGAATCTACCCTATTGCTCTGCACTGGGTTATTCGCCCCCACCGTCGCCCCCGAGAAGGTAGGTGGCGACATCCGAACCCTATCCCCACCAACCATCGGATCTCCTGCATCGATGGGAGGTGGCGGTAGGGCTCGGACTTCGCCACGCGTTCGACGACTTCCGAATCCTACCCCCGCCCATCGAGTTTCCCGAACCATTGATCGGTGAGGGCAGGGCTCGTATTTTGCCACCGTCGAGCAGGGACCGACCGTCCCGACACTCCCATAGGCTTACCACGACATGTTCTTAGAACCTAAAGAAACCCCCAAAACAAAACAATGTTCTCAGAACAGGAACCGAACCCCGTGTGGTAAAACAAGACAGCCCCAGCCAGAAACATTATAAGAACAGCCCGTGAAAACCACAACAGGATCTTAGAACATTCTTTGGTGGGCCTATAGGCCGAGCTCGAATCGGGTTGCCAGGACTCTTCGCCAGAGCTCGAATCGGGTTGCCCGAGTGGTTGATCGGCGAGGGCTGGACTCATATTCAGAGGCCTCCTAGATGGGGTATGAGTAGATGGGGTCGGAGGATCGCGCCGCATCGCCAATGCGCCGGCGATGCCTCGGCGACGTCGGCGATGCATCGGCGACGTCAACTTGGAGAAAATCGGGCTCCGCATCGAGCCGCATCGCCGATGCATCGGCGAAGCGGTGCGGAGCGATCCTTCGACCCCCTCTACCCGGACACCATCTAGGAGGCCTGGAGTCGCATTGCCCGAATCGTCGGTCGGCGAGGGCTGGGCTCGCATTCGGTCGGGCATGTCCTCCAACGGGCAGACATTGGACGAAAAGTAAGACACAGTCAAACCTTTGGAACATACGCCGAGATTGTCAAAATAATCGTCCCCACGCTATTTTTGGACTACTTCTGAGTGTTCCTCTTGTAGAGGGACACGCCCGACTTGCCGCTCGTACTCCACCGCCGAGGAAGGGTCGGGGAGACGTAAGACTCGGGTTCGGGGGACTCGGGTTGGCCAGACGGGGCCGTCCATGAAACTGACGAGACCCCATCGGGAATTCGACGCGAGCTCCCGCCGCAGACGTCCCACGAGAACTGGGCCGTCAAAATCCAGGACGCACTCGTCCAAAAAACGTCGACAAACCCGAGTCCCGGCGTACAGTCGGGGCGTTGACCTAAGGAACCCTAAATAGGAACGAGGCCCCTTTGTCCGGTAAGTTAAACTTCGATTTCACATGGAAAACCTTAGGAACCCCCAAGGCAAACTGCAAAACAATCAAGGAACACCGAGCCCCTCTCCAACGGAAAAGGTTCCTTCTTCAGCGCCCCAACTGTACTCGAGTCTTACGCTCGGGGATGGACAGACCTCCCTTTAGTAAAACGTGGTTTAGCGAAAACGACCTGAGGCCCAAACCTGGCAGGCGCAAGCATGGAAAATAGCGGCCATGGCGCCCTCTCGAGAACCGAAAACGGACAAATTACTAATCGACGTGTCACTGTTGGGGGTTCTGTCCACCCCCGATACGCTTCCCCGAATGGGGCGGCGCAGAGCGGCCTCGGCCACGCACAGGGACAGGTGGCCGGCGGCCCGCACGCAGGTCGTCGCCTCCCCGCGGGGGGGGGGGGAGGCGGCCCGCGGCCCGCGGCGCGCGGGCCGCTCGATTGCTCCGCGCGCGCCCGCGGGTGCTCCGCCCAGGAGCCGAAGAGGCCCGAGGCTCCGAGGCTCCGGAAAGCACAGAATCGCTGGAGCTGGGGGAGGAGGGGGAGGAGGAGGGGGGAGGAGGAGGAGGAGGAGGAGGAGGAGGAGGAGGAGGAGGAGGAGGAGGAAGACGAGGAGGAGGAGGCGCGGCGCGCCGAGCGCGCCGGGGGCGGCGCCGGGGGGGCGCCGCCGAGGGGGGGCCCGGCGCGGATCCAAGAACGTCCGCGCGGAGCGCCACGGATCTGCGGTTCTGCCGTGTGCTCTTCCTCGAGGTGCTGCCGCTCTTCCCTCCTTCTCGACGAGCGCGTTCCACTACGCGCAGAGTAACTGCTCGCAAATGGCGTGGATCCCTCGCGGGGGATCTACGAGAAATCGTGCCAAAGCAGAGAGGTGTTTTTTTCCTGGCGTTTGCGAGAAGGCACTTTGCGAGTCGTGGAACGCGCTCGGGCACCTTCGCAGGCGGCGCCCCAGCTGCAGCTGCGATCCCCCCCCCCAAGCGGTGCCCGGAGCGCAAGGGCTCCCAACTTCGCGCTTCGCGCTGAACGAAAGCGCGAAGCGCGAATCACTTCGCGCTCCCGCGCCGCCTCCCAGGGGAGAAGAGGAGGATGAGCAATCGGAGCCCAACCGCGCAGCGCGAATATAGGGGGCCACCTGCGAACCCTACCCCTACCCCCCACGACTTCTGAGGGGGGGTGGGGTTCACTTCGCTCGGGAGCTCCCGAGCGGAGTGAACCCCACCCTCCCCCTCAGAAATCGTGGGGGGTAGGGGTAGGGTTCGCATCAAGCTAGCCAGCTCGAGCGAGTCAAGCATGGCATGCCCATTCCCACCCGCCCTCCCACAACATAAGAAACACTGATGGCACAACTTGGGGCTGCGCGGGCATTTCAGTGCGAGTGGAGGATACCCCAGGACACCGCATTGACGTCCGCGCGGGATGTGCGCCGCGTCCCATTCCCGCCACGCATTTCGCATCGTCGGCGACAAGACTGGCCATGTTGAAAGGAACAACGGACACGTTCCGCCCTCCCACAACATAAGAAACAATGCTGGCGCAACTGGGTGCTGGCGCAGTACGTAGTAGTAGTAGTAGTAGTAGTAGTAGTAGTAGTAGTAGTAGTAGTAGTAGTAGTAGTAGTAGTAGTAGTAGTAGTAGTAGTAGTAGTAGTAGTAGTAGTAGTAGTAGTAGTCAGTAGTAGTAGTAGTAGTAGTAGTAGTAGTAGTAGTAGTAGTAGTAGTAGTAGTAGTAGTAGTAGTAGTAGTAGTAGTAGTAGTAGTAGTAGTAGTAGTAGTAGTAGTAGTAGTAGTAGTAGTAGTAGTAGTAGTAGTAGTAGTAGTAGTAGTAGTAGTAGTAGTAGTAGTAGTAGTAGTAGTAGTAGTAGTAGTAGTAGTAGTAGTAGTAGTAGTAGTAGTAGTAGTAGTAGTAACAGTAGCAGTAGCAGTAGCAGTAGCAGTAACAGTAACAGTAACAGTAACAGTAACAGTAACAGTAACAGTAACAATAACAGTAACAGTAACAGTAACAGTAACAGTAGCAGTAACAGTAACAGTAGTAGTAATAGTAGTAGTAGTAGTAGTAGTAACAATAACAGTAACAGTAACAGTAGTAGTAGTAATAATAAGAGTACAAGTAGGAGTAGGAGTAGGAGTAGGAGTAGTAGTTGTAGTAGTAGTAGTAGTTGTTGTAGTAGTTGTAGTAGTAGCACTAGTAGTGGTAGTGGTAGTGATAATGGTACTCTGTATTGTTTTTTACGGTCAGGATGGAAGGGCCCGCAGCCCGCATGGACGTCCGCGCGCGATGTGCGCCGCGTCCCACTCCTGCAACATATTTCGCACCGTCGGCGACAAGGCAAGCCATGCTGAGAGGAAAAAGACTGAGACTTTGTAATTATTTGTACAGTCAGGATGGGCGGGCCCAGATTGACGGCCGCGCGCGATGTGCGCCGCGTCCCATATGTGCGCCGCGTCCCACTGCTGCCACATATTTCGCACCGTCGGCGACATGGCAGGCCATGCTGAGAGGAAAAAACGAAGACTTTGTATTGGTTTTTGCAGTCAGGATGGGCGGGCCCAGATTGACTGCCGCGCGCGATGTGCGCCGCGTCCCACTCCTGCCACGCTTTTCGCATCGTCGGCGACAAGAAAGACGATGCTGAGAAGAATCACGGCCACTCTGTATTGATGTTTACAGTCAGGATGGGAGGTCCTGGATTGGGTTGCTATCGGCCGGAATACGACGTAGGTGGGGGTATATATCAGGGGGACGTAAGACCTGGGTACAGGGAACTCGGAAATCCCCGACGAGGTCGTCAAAAAAATGACGAGGCCGAGCCTGCATTTTGACGAGGCCTCCCGCTGCAGACATTCCACGAAACTCCTCCTCGTCAAAATCCGAGGCGCGGTCGTCAAAAAACGATGGCGAACCCGAGTCCTGGCAAACCCGGGTCTTACGCTCCCCCGAATATAATGATAAGGAACAAGGATAGAATTACTGCGCGCCCTCGAGGGCGCCCTCAGGAGCGGCACCGCCGGCCCGCGCCCCCCCCCCCCAGCAGCGGGCGGCGGCGGCCTTCGGGGCGTCCCGGGCCCAGGCCTCGCCCGCGCCCTCGGCCGCGTGCTCCTGCCGCCGGGCACGGCCGCTGGAAGCCGCGGGGCGCGTCGTCGGCGTTGGCGTCGTCGTCGTCGTCGTCGTCGTGCTCGACGTCGTCGTCGTCGTCGTCGTCGTCGTCGTCGTCGTCGTCGTCGTCGTCGTCGTCGTCGTCGTCGTGCTCCTCGTCGTCGTCGTCGTCGTCGTCGTCGGCCAGGGGCAAGACTTGGCACCCCGCGGCCGCCACACATGGCGCCGCGCGGCGCCACGTTGAGAATCTGCGCGAGAACGTCTACAGATCAGAAGGCCTGCTCTGAGGGCCATCATAGGGGAACGAAGAATGACAACACCAAAAAAAAACTCAGAGGTCCGCGCGGATTTCTCGGATCCGCGCTGGACCCGCGCCTCCCTGGCGCACGGAGCGCGCCAGGGCCGGCGCCTTTATATATATATATATATATATATATATATATATATATGGGATTTTAATGTGAATATATATATATATATAGGAATAAATGTCTGCATGACATCCTCGTTGTTTTTTGTACTGAATCCCTGCATGTTTAATGCATGATCCGCGCGCGGAGCATGTATGAAAAAACGGCACTGTATATTGTTGCTGTTTTATCTGACGATCAGCTCGTGCTGCCCGTGGCTGCTGCGCGCGGGGGGATGCCCTCCCAGACATGCGACGTGCTGATACTTCCAATGCGTGGTCTCCAGACCCTTCCCCCAGGGCGGGCCCGTACAGTGGGGGCCCGTGCCAAGAAGCACTCTGCTTGCCTCCAGGGTGTCGGAGGCCTGGAAGGTGGACACCAACACAAACACAGGGGGGATGCCTCCACCAGGGGAAGATGATCCTAGATTTGCCTCTACCAGAGTGTTGGTGGTAATAGTTCGGCCACCTAGGAAGCCCGAATATTGCCACCAGCACCGAGATCGGGGTCATCTTTCTTCGGTGGAGGCACACCGCCGATGTTTGTGATGGTGCCAACTTTTAGGCCTCCTGGGTGTCTTGTGTGTCGATGGTTTTGCTCTGGGGAGCGGGCGTCCCCACACCAGAAATCCATGGACGTCCTGGGGTATCGGGGTGGGGGTTCTGGTGGACTGGCCCCCCCTGTGACAAGGACGCGGGGTGAGGATGCAAGGGCCTTGAAGGCCACTTCGAAGCTTTCCGAGCGGGGCGCGGCCGACGAGAGTGGCCAAGGATGGACCAAAAAGGCAAGGACTCAAGGGTACCCATGGGAAGCCTGCCCAGCCTCATCCTGCGGGTTGAATGTACTTGGTTCTCATCGCCCGAGGGACAAGGAGGAGCCGGCTGTTCTCGGACGCCTGCTCTCCGAAGCCTCCAAGAGGACCTCCTGTGGAGGGGTCGGGAGACGTTTTGTCTTGCTGTGTTTCCTTCACTGCCGCGGCCATGGCTCTGGACGAAGCTGTCCACGCCATAAACGGCCTTCACTGCTGCAATCATCAACCGGCCGTCATCACCTTGAAGGAGGCCGAGTGAAAAAAAATAATGAGTGAGGCCTGATGACGCCAGCAGCTGCATATGATACGGCAGCGACATGGAGCCCGCAAAAACGCCGAGGACGAATGGCGCGTGCACTTGCGCGTGCGCTCTGGCAGACGACGTCGGCGCGAGTCGAGACGTGATCGGCCCCCTCCCCCCACCCCCCCCAACCCACTGGTCACGCGCGTTCTCGCCAAGTGACAAAAAAAACTGGTTCCTGCGCGCTGTCGCACCAAGAACACACGCCGCACAACCACTCCCGCACCGCAAGGGGTACAAGATCTGAGCAGAAACTGTGGTGAAGCAGGCCCGTCACCGCAGCAGCGCGCGCGGCCAAGGAGGATCGGAGAGGGAGGAGCGCCAGCCAAGTGAACCAGAGCCCTTGCGCGCAGCAGGATCGAGGAGGGAGTAGGAGGAGTCGACGCAGCCTGGAAATTGGCAGAGGCGGAGTCTTGTGGGAATGTGGAAGGAGTGCTGTCGCAACACTATGGCTGCGGTCCCATCCCAACCAAACTCTCTTGCGCGCTGCAGGATCGAGGAGGGAGCAAAAGGAGGAGTCGACACAGTCTGTAACTCGGTGGAGGTAGAGTCTTGCGAGAAAATGGGAGAAATGCCGTTGCAGCACCGTGCGGTCCCACCCCAACCAAACTCTCGAGCTGTGGCTGAACTCTTGCAAACTTTCAACACGAAAGTGCGCGGCGCTAAAGCGAGAACCCCATTTGAAAAAAACGCCCGCCCTCAATCCGTGAAGCTCTTGGAAACGTTTAACACGAATGTGCGCGGCGCGAATGTGAGAGAATCATTTTGAAATCCCTCTGCCCTCAATATGCGAAGCTCTTGCAGTGTTTGTTTAAAAGAGTTGCGCTGCGCTAACGCGAGAACCACATGTTGAAAACCACCTGCCCCCAATCCGCGAAACCCTTGCAACCTTTAAAACGAATGTGCGCGCCACCAACGCGAGAACCACATTTTGGAAACCGCCCGGCTTCAACCCGTGAAGTGTTTGCAAATGTGTAAAATGAATGCGCGCGGCGCTTAGGCGAGAGCTACATGTTGAAAACCAACCGTCCTCCATCTGTGAAACTGTTGTCAACGTTTAAACTTCAGGATCAAGAATGGTGAGGAAGTCTCAGGCCAAACGCCCGGCCCGCCCTTTCGAACGGCCTTGAGGTGCGACAGGGAAGAATTATTTATAGGAATGGAGGAGGAGGAGGAGCACGAGGACGGCGACTTGTAAGGAAAAGGAGCGGAGGACGACGAGGATGACGAAGGGGAGGAAGGGGAGGAGCACGAGGAGGAGAAGGAGGAGGACGAGCACAAGGAGGAAGAGGAGGAGGAAGTGGAGGAGCACGAGGAGGAGGAGGAAGAGGAGGAGGGGGATGAGCACGAGGAGGAGGAGGAGGAGGGAGGAGGAGGATGAGCGCGAGGAGGAGGAGCGCGAGGAGGAGGAGCACGGGAGGAGCACGGGGACGGCGAGGCGAGCGAGGGAAGGCGCCTCCTCCTCCGCGGCCGCCACCTGCGGGATTCTTTCTCGCTCTCTCTCTCTCTCTCAAGCTCGGGCTATCGGGCGTTCCTCTCTCCGTCTCTCTCCCTCCCTCTCTCTCTCTCTCCCTCTCTCTCTCTCTCTCTCTCAATCTCTCTCCCTCTCTCTCTCCCTCTCTCTCTCTCTCTCCCTCTCGCTCTCTCTCTCTCTCTCTCTCAGGTGAGTGGGGCCATCGGGCCCCCATCGGCGATCCATGGGCGATTGGGGGTCGATGCATCCTCCCCTATGCCCTATGCCTATCCCCCCCTACCCGTCGGTCGGAAGGAGCAATCATAAAAAAACATGAACTAGGTAGACAGAGAAAGTAGGGTGGGTTCAGGCCCGCCCGGAGAATACCATAATACAGCAAAAGCATAACGATTCTTGAAGCAGGAAGGCGCTAGAAGTAGATTCGGATCCAGGAATCCAAAAACACCTACTTTCAGCGGCCGATGTGCATCGTTGCCCCTGATTCTCTCGCTATACTAGCGCGGCCCCCTGCCGGTCGTCCCTCTCTCGTGCTCCCGCCCCAGAGAACGAACAGCGTGCACAGGATCCACATCCGACGAGCGAGATCTTGCTACAGTCGGACCTGGGCCAAACGGAAATCCTCCAAGATCATGAAACACTCCGCCAGCCAAAACACACAGAACATCCCAGGGTACCTTCCCCAGGTTGCACAAGAATATCCAGCATACACGAAGAACATGCGGGCACCCTCCCCGAACTGGCCTCGATATGATACCTCGGTCCACCCGTATGGGAGATTCTGGGGCACATTCCTCGTCGAGGAGAGCCACTGAGAACCAGCGAAGCGGTCCGACAACTTCGAGCCCCGAACGTGGGAGCGTCGACATCATCGGAGTTGCACAGGGCTGGGGGGGTCAGGTCTGCAGAAGACCCCACACGGACGCCAAAGGGCGCAACCAACCTGTTCGGTCGAGGTGAAACTAATGCACCACACCCGGCGTCAAGCCACAACTCTGCACATAAGCGAACGGTTGGACTTTGCACATCCTCGCCGGCTAAACCGGCGAGGCGCTTGACCACCCTGACGTCCCTTGTTTAGTGGTCCTGCAAAGGAAGGCGCTCGCTGACCCTCGGCCCTACCCATCGGGGGCGGCCAAGAGGGGGGTGTCCAAGAGGGGGGGCTGCAATCCATGGGGGGAGGTCCAAGAGGGGGGGGTGTCCAAGAGGGGGGGGGGGGTCCAAGAGAGGGGGGGGTCCAAGAGGGGGGGGGGTCCAAGAGGGGGGGTGTCCCCCTGGTCGTCACCCCCCTCTTCGCCGCCCCCGAGCTCAACGTCGGAGCGAGCTGTCTGGGGACCTGCCGGGCACCTCTGGGCCACAAGGGAGCGGGCACCTCTCGAACGTCCCGAGACCCCCCGGGGGCGCGTCGCCGCTGCCGTCGGCCGCCCTCATCTCTGAAGGGGCCCTGGGACACACAAATGAATGCACACAAATAAAAGGATTCCCCATATTTCCCCATATAGTCTGGGTTTTTGTCTTCCCCCTATCCCCATATGTTCCCATATTTTCTTGGGAATCGACGATTCATTGTGTCTGTGTGTTTTCCCCTCCAGAATCTTTCGCTCCACCTTGGGTCCTGAGGCGCCCCAGAGCTTCTTTGGCTCCCTGGGGCCTCTGGGGGACAAGAGCTTACCGCGGGACACCTGGTGAACGTTTTCTTACTCGGCGTTTCGGCATTGGGCAGAACGGGGGGCGAGGGGGGGGGTCTGGCTACAGATCTCTGCTTCATGCGTATGATTTCAAACAGTGCGTTCGATGGGGGAGACCCCACCTGCTCGAAGCAGGCGACAAAACAGTCAAGATCTACTCCATGGGGGGGTCTACTCCATGTGGGGGGAAGGGGGGGTGCGAGGGCCCGCGCCGATCGGCAAAGCAACGAATAAGAAAACGATCACCTGATGGCAGGCCAATCCCTTGTTTATGTATGTGCCTACTGTGGACACAGACATCCGGCCGCTCCAATCTTTTCGATGAGTGGACCCTGGAGGTC